GTTTTTGGCCATTATTGCTTGGTGTACTAAATTGTGCTCTTTCAGGGCCATTAGTCCCTCAATGACACCAAATAACATCTCAAGTAACACTGAAGGTTTTGGCAACGGATTTATATCGGATCTGTAAGTAAAAAAATATCCTTATATACCCTAGTAATTTAAATTTAAATTTATTTTTAAATACTGTCTGATGAGTGTGTAGCACGAAACTCGGAGTTACAGCAAAATCTTGCCTCTTTGATATCATATATATGAATTTATTTTTATTTATTTTTATTCATTTTTATTTTTTTTTATTTTTTATTTTATTTTAGATTTAAATGAAAATCACGCATTTCTAGAAAAAATGTCATTAAAACGTTTTTCAAACAGATATATAGATCTCTTGCATGTGACGTCAAGCAGCCTCATCTGGAGGAAAAAAACATAAGATTTTCTTGGAAGCTAGAACCATTGCTTTGTCTTCCAGTTAGATCTGCTGATTCCCATGAACTGCAAGGACTCTATATTTTGAAAATATCTGATGATGTACCTTTTAAGTGAATAAAAATAGAAAATAGAAAAAAACTCTATAGATTGGGATAGATTGATTGATAATTAAAAGGAAAGAGGAAACTTTGATATAAAATCAGAAAGGCGAAACTTTTGGCTAACAAACTAAAGACACTGTTAATTTCTTTCTGGCTTCCATACCTTGCATCTTGTAGGTACTGCAGAAGTGTTCCTTTGTCAGCATATTCGGTGATGATATGGTACGGCTTGGTACATGTGTCGAATGCAAACACYCTRAGAATRTTGGGGTGAGGACTCACGTTCAGTCTTCTCAAGAAATAGGCTTCTTTAATTAGATCCTTGTAAGATTTGCTAGGTCCATTTTCAATTCCTCTCTGGTCATCTGAGAATAAAATCAATAATATTTCATTTTTTTATTTGAAGCTCTTAATTCGACAACAGACAAGTTCTCTTGCGCAATGATTTTACTGATAGCAAAAGAAAGCATGAAAAATGATGTTACCGAGTTTAGGTAACCCTGTATTCCCATTAGGCTTAAACATTAGTTCTTTTGGGAATACATTACTAGTCTCCTCAATTTTTAACATGCTCTTTTTCAAGATAATCTTTTTTCAAATATAGCAGTGGTCTAGTCTCGCGCTTTCCTTTCGTAAATGGAATATTGACGATTATGGTAACTAGTAATGTTATTATGTCAGCCAATGAGACAAGTTTAGACCACCGAAACTGTATTCCTTTTTTATGTTATTGTTGCATAGAACAGTAATTATGAAATATGAAGTTTTCACTTTCTCATGCTTACCATCTGATAAAACAAGTATTTTTGTTATTGAAATCTCTCCTCTGAAATTTCCTTTGAAGAATGCCTTGCCAGTCTCAGAGTTCTTACAAAGGAGCTGGCAACTTTGGGGATCCATTTGTTGACGGTAACGTACACTTGCCAGAAATTNAAACCATTTGCTTCGAGTACTTCTTCCATGAAAGGAAGTACGGCATGGAGTAGAAACTTTCTCAGTGTTTCCTTCTCTTCTGAGGTAGATCCATGATATTTTGTTAATTCTTGTTGGTAGTTCTTTATAAAAGCATCGGGACTACGTTCATACTCTGTAAAAGAGAGCAAATCTGAATATCAGTCACTGCAAGATGTTCACTTTTATTTTCTAGGAGCTGAAATAAATTCACCAATGGAGTTATAGTCACTCTACTTGGTGGGGTAACTTTAAAGAGAGTTAAATCTACTCTACAATGCGAGTATTTTTACTCCGGAGATTTATATTAACTGGCCTGAAAGAGAGTCAAAATTACTCCAAAATGGGTTTCAAAATTTCTTTTGGGAACTATGAAAAGGAAACAAAAAATTACCCCCGCTGCAGTGGAATTAATCTACTATTTTAGAGTTATATAAACTCCTTCAAAACAAGAGTTTAATTCTATGATTGTTTTAGTATGCGATATTATCCAACGGGTACATAAAAACTCTACAAAGTCAAAGAAATGGAATCCAGTGCATTTTGCTATTTTTACGATCGACATATAGACAGCTATATCAGAAATCTATATATATATCATAACCATCTGCTTGAGAGTCATTGTTGGTTTACCTGGTGGATAGTTGGAAATGCCGTTTACTTCTCTCGGTGTCCATGGGCTATTTGAAATAGCTCCTGTGGCGTAGGAATAAAAATTCCCATAGATTGAAGCCCGAGATTGACGTACTTCTGTAAATGATTGAATATACTGAGTATTGTGATGATTTCGTATTGGTCATGAATTAGCACCATTCCTCGGCAATCCATTAGTCCATCAATGCACCATCCTCGAGCCGTATTTCCATCAATGCAACAATCCGTCATTTACTCTCCATAAACCCAACAGTCCATCAGTCCACAATTCCATGGAGCAATAAATCTACCAATACATCATTCCAACAATCGACCTTCAATGTTATGAATTCATCGAATCAATATTTTACCGAGTTGTATGATATTTTTTGTTTTGCTCAATCCATCTATCCATCGGTCCATAAATCAATATTTTATGATTGCGGAACTGTTTATTTTTGTTTTGTAATTTACCTGATCTTTCGACGTTGTTGTAGTAAGTTGCCATCGTCTTCAGATTGATCTATCATAAAAAAAATCAAAATAAACTCTCGCGCCACCAAGTCATATCATTTGGTCTGCGTCAGGACTTATACATATGACTGACTCGATGGACATTAATCACATAAAAAGTCTATTATAGACCCCTTACAGTTCATGGGAATGCAGCTCCAACTGGAGGACAAAACAATAGATTCTAGTTCCCAAGAGGATAAAAATCTTTTGTTTTGTCCTCCAGATGAAGCTGTTTTGACGTCACATGCAAGGGGTCTATTATAACACTACTAGGATTAACAATAATATGATTGTTTTTCTTTCTCTTTCATATTGCATTTATTATTATTATGATTATGAAATATTATTTTGTATTTATAATCGTAGGATATGAGATACTTTATTAACCTATATGATGATATCTCAAGCTGGTTGGCAAGAATTCGTTGAAGCACAGTTACAGATACCTTTCAGCTCACGCTTGGCTGACCTCGGACAGGAAGTCTGACTTTGATGAAATGAAAATGCTGATCGTGCACATTCTTGTAAGTAGGGAAATTCACATTTCACTAAAAACAGGAAATACAAGCCCGGTTTCTTCGAATTGTTGTTTTGGTTCCGGGTAAGGTTATATTTTTTCTACGCAAAGCAAACAAAAGTGTTCAGTCCTGCTTAGAGTCAAAAAAACACCATGAGCTAAATAACTTAGACGAATCTAAGACATGATTGTTCTGACAGATAACGGACTGGTTAACGGTGATCAACTTAAACCTAATTTTCTTATAAAACACACAGGATTAAAATGGTATTTACTATTGTTTAATTTGTACTAGTAAATAAGAAATTATCTGCAATAAAAAGGCCTTGCTCATCAGAAATACTTAGTTTCCAAAGCATCGCGAAAGTCATGAATATGTGGATTACCATCTAAACATATCTAAGACGATATTGAGCATTATTTCAGCTACACACACAATATTTTACGAGCAATTGACTGAAGCTGAGAGAGTGCACGTACCTAGTTACATACAAATTAATTATGCAATTAAACGTTTCGCATGACCAGACAACTGTACTCGAAGTTAAGAAACACTGAGTCATTTTATACCTGGTTTTACTTACTTTTGAACTCAAAACAGGATGGCAAAAACTCGGAATACACTCTCGATCCTTGCGTTACTAACTTAGGAAACAAAAGGTCAGAACAAAAATAAATATTTAAATTTGCAAATTGCTGATGCTAGCCAAAAAAAGATTGGCGATAAATTTTCAGTGATATCTAATTTTTTGATGTTAAAAAGATTAATGATTATTCGTGTAACTATACCCCAAATCTATTCTTTCTTGAATGTGGTAGTAGTTTATGCAAACTTCTGCCAGCTGATTTCTTTGCTTCTTCCTGATAGTTTTGAATGCGTTGGCCATGATCAGAAGTACGTCCTTCTCGAGGACCGAAAGCCGCCGTGACTTTTAGAGACTACGATTTTTACTGACAAATTTGACAACAACAACAACAAAAAACATCTAAAATCTAAAGGGAATTTGGAGACTTTAAATATTTTGGGAAACTTCAGTTGACGTTTGGTCCCATAATTGTCCTCGTAACGTTGAGCGACTTTTTAGGCGATTAGGTCGATTAGTATAAAATTTTGATACCATACAAAAACCACTTCTCTCCTCTCTCTCTTTTGCACCATACAAAACCACTCTGCTTAAAAGTCCATTTTTATGCGCGCAATTATTGTGACTTCAACAGTTAGGGGTGATTTTGAGCGATTTGAGGCGATTTTGACCGATTTGCGGTTATTTGAGGCGATTTTCAGTAACTCTCGGTCCAAAAGAGCATTACTTTCACTGAATGCATTAGCATCATCTCTAATCATGCTCAGTCACGGGCGATAAAATAAAAATATTTTGCAATAACGATACGATTAATTAGCAAAACACGCTGTAAAATACGAATACTGGAGCTTATTACATATGTATATCGTGTTTGTATTAGTGCATATATTAAATATATAAAATCTTACCTGTTGATATGGAAGACTTTATCACTTGTGCTGACCAACAACTTAAACGCTCTGTACTTTAGCAATCGGTAATAAGTTAATCCTATTCATAGAGTTTGGGGAATCCCCGGCCTAATATTACACTATTTGCGTTATCCTTGTTTATGACGTCACGCCACCGCATAGCTAGCAATGCATCGGGATGTCAGCCGGAAAAGTTTTAGCAACTGACTTAAAGCTACTAAATAAACATATTTACATCTCGAAAATACGATTTTCTGCGTTTTATTTTACAAATTGTGTCAACGCGAAAAAGTATTTCTGTACAAAATGCCAAAGGAAGAGTCTAGATATTGAGATATGGACCGATATGTCTATACAGCATTTCACAGTTATCTGTTCTCGCTATTTGGGTAAAAGTCCCGAAGTGAATATGACATTAAGGGGATTTTTTTATGACCTCGTATTTTATCAGACGTCCAGACTTTTGAATTTGATTCCTTAATAGGCCCGTTTCGAAAGTAGAACTAATTTCAGACACTTCTAGTCTAATTGCTGGACTTGAGTTGATTTTCCAACTCTGATTTTATTATAATTGGTAGATTTGTTCAGTTTAATGAACTTACTATAAAACAAAATTGGCAACTGATTTTTAAAAACTGCAAACTTCTGCGGGTGAACTATATGATCAATAAGATTATAGACTCAGCAAAGATCTGACGTTTGAACAAATTAAGTCTAACAATCACTGAATATAATACCAATCTTCAATCAACCTTCAATCAATAAAATGTATGCCATAATAATATAATTGAATTAATATCAAAAGATGGCTTTATTTCCATGAAGTTCTGCTGACAGTGTCACTAATTTCCGTACACAATGAAACGACTTAATTAATTATCCAAATTATTTATAATAAGTTAATCGTGATCTCTAAATGTCTTACGAATGGACGACATTTTATGAAGGAACTGATTCATTATTACTATGAATCCTGTATAATTTCAAAATAATCTCAAGGAATTCATAATTAACAATGCTACTTGATCAATACTTAGGTCTTAATAACCGAGCGCGCTTTCTAGATAGAAAAATCTAGACCGCGGTCGTGAAGTACCTTATTAGTGTATTACTAACCAAGGTCTTTTCTATCTAGACCAATAAAGCAATAATTTCGCCGATCATATTCACCAGTCTGATAAAAACAAATCCATGTGGATCCATCTTAACTGAGCAAATCTAATTAACGTCTGTGGCGCATAACATAGCGATGAAATGCTTTAAAACTTCAGAAACTTAATAATGCTATAGAGCGGGAAAAAGTTTGTAAAAGTTTCCGCATTTTAATTGAGTAAGCTAAACCGTGGGGTGACGAAGCCGGGTTTTTTGTTGTCAAAGTTAATGGGTTCTTCGTCAATGAATAAAAGACCCGATTGTGAGCACAAATGGGGGGTTTTCTCCATTATATTCCGTTTCTTATGTTTTCATGGAAAGTCCTGATATGATGACATCAGAGATATTTTGATATCGTAAAAATACAGAGGCTTCTCTGTATCTCCCTTTAGCTCTTGTCTAAAAATGTCTCTGTTCTCGCAAACGGATCGAGACACAGAGAAGGTCTCGGAACCGGGGTATTAAACCGTGAAGAAGCACTTCTACACACTTCCAAAGAAAAATATACGGAATATGCATTTTTGCATAAAGAGCAATTTCAAAGTACTTACTTCAATGATTGATGGCAATTTGTTCAAAATCAGACTTTGTCGTCTTTTTAAAGCCATAGACATTTTTATTAGTTAATTACCATAACAGCTGTTATTGCTATTAAAATTTATTCAAGGAATAAAATCAAGATTATCGCAGTAAACTAACGAAAAAGGCGCAGATGGATTCTCAATACTATATTAAACGATTATATTCTCTTTGCTAAAACAAAGGAAGATGTGTTATTAACGTTTCTGCATAACTGAGCAATCTAAACCGTGGTGCCAAAGCTGGTCTTTAACAAAAGTCCCCATTGCTTGTGCAAAGGGGTTTTCTGCATAAAGTCTCAATTCTTTTTAGTTTTCAAATTTCCCTATTTAATTATGACATCAAATCAATGCATTCTATTGTTTTAACGCTGAGGATTATTGTCGTCGATCAGAGGGTACTTGTAAAATAAGATGTACATGGGCAATCATYAATACATGATATATATCAAAACACGATTCATTGAAGTTCTACTTTAGGACAGAATAGAAATGGGTCTAAATTTCCATTGCTTTTAAGCATCTTTCTCCGATGTAAATAATACTGTGACGTCATAATGAAGCAAAGAAATTTTTCGCAGGAAGCTGGATGATTAAAACTAATCATACATCATGTTGTTAATTATGAGGGAGAGATGTTAGTCCCCAAAGGCAAATGGATTAAAGCACTTACCAATTTTTTAAGATAAATTCCAAATGTTTGAATTCAAGCATATCGAAAAATTGTATGTCATTCGTGCGGGATTCCTGTGTATTTTAGCTTTGGGCTTCCTTTAGCGAATTCATTCCATAAATGGAAACAAAGAAAATGAAATGCCTGATTGTTGTTATCTATATATTATCTGCAAGTTTCACTTGACGATTTCAAGGCATCAAAAGTCGAGAAAATCGCCAAAAGCAATTCCAGAATTACTTCTAAATAAGATTACCATAATTGTGATTAGTATAAACATGTTAATGGTCTATCACTCATACTGCGCTGTGATTGGCTACTCTACTAATGGTCTAATTTGTGATAGACCACTCGCGGAAAAATCAAAATAAATAAATTATAAATTAATATTTTAAGGATATTTCAATTTGTTTTCTAAAATATTTAGGATACTACGCGCGCTGTGATTGGTCGAAAATCATGTTTGATTACAGTATCAAAACACGCTCGCGCGCGTCAAATTTCTTTTTTCCCGCCGTTTGCATTTGTTGTTGTTATCATTCATTTTCAAGAACAATGAACGAAGAAATGCCTATTTATGATGTCCTCTGGGATGATATCCCAGAAGAAGAGCTATCAAACGTTTTAGAAAGGAGAATTCATCGTTTCATATCGTATCAAAGTCAGAATTCTTTACAATTTTCGTATTCTGTTAATTTTAGAAAAGAAATAAGACGAAATTCCGCTACGCGTCGTGGTTTCCTACGCTTCTCTCGTGCTCTCCCTACATCCCGCGTATTTTGATCAGAGTATCAAACACGGAATTTCGTCTTTTATTCCTTAATTCATTATTAGACCGATTAGTATGTTTTTACTAAAACAAGTAGACCTCTCGGCCTCGTGGACTACGAGCTAATAGCCCATTCGCAGCCATTCGGCAGATTCGGCCTCGCGGACTCGGCCTCATTAACTATTAGCTCGTAGTCCACTCGACCTCGAGGTCAAATTGTTAATTAGAACCAAATACATGTATGGCTGCAAAACGAAGGACAACGTAAAGAAAAAATTTGGGGGGTGGGGAGTTGCTTTTTACCATTTAACCAAATAGTCTCAACCTTGAGCATAGCACTACTTGTAGTATTGTCTTGTGAGTCTGACTTAATCCCCATCCATGGGTGACTCAACCATTCATCAATCATTTTACAGTTACGGGCTGGCGGTCAGTCGATTCATTTTGGATTAATAATTAATTTACGCGCGTTTTTTGGATGTGAGACCTTAGTAAAACAAATAAAGCAAGGAGTTTATTGGATTTTATATCTTATCATAGAGCAGAGTCACATGAACCATGAAATAAAAACTAAAAAGTACTAACTAATAGGCACTATTAGTTCCTAATAGTCGTTAGCACTGAACCAGAACACTTTATTTGATCCAATAAGCAATACCCAACAGAACACTATAATAATCAAAGTAATCTCTTTGTACTGTTCTGGTTCAGTGATAGTGTCTAACTAGTGCCTATTAGTTACTAAATATTTAGTTTCTATTTCATGGTTCAAGTGACTCTGCTCTATAAAGGTAATAAAGTTACAACGATTTTCTCTTGTCACGGTTGCACGGTACTTGAAAAGCTCATTTTGAAACGATTTATGCGTGCAAAATGTTTGAAAAGTTGAGAAACATATCGCAGAAATTGCTGCGTGAAAACTTCAGCTTTTAGAAATAATGAATTCGTAATTGTTTAGACTTATTGAAACAAGTTGTATGAGCTGATTCTCAACAAAGCACTTGGTGATGGTCAAGAGCGCATTGACCGAACGTGTCACTTCCCGCGCTTTGATTAGCAATGCAAATTTAGTTGGTTTGAAGTGCATGTTCTGGAAGAGTGATCCACTATAACGCGTCCAAGATGGGGGTATGTTGTAAAGCTTTCTGCAGAGAGCTGGATATTCGAAATCTTGGCCTAAAGTTTCACGATCCCAAAGCATTCACAGATTCCCCGGTAAGGAAAACACAGGCGAAAGCCATCTTTGAAATGTTTTCGGTTGAACTTTGTTTAGTCAAGCTTCGATGGCGATTTACTGAATCTCAGTAGAAGTTTTGTAGCTCTCTCCCCGCGATCGTTTTTGAACTATTTGAAAGATTCGTCAAAAAATGTTTCGTTATTTCAATTCAGCTTCAATTTTGAATGAAATCTGTTAGCGAAGTTTTCGGGTAAAACTCTTTGACAATCTCTTAACTCTGTTAGGCTTGACTAGTCTGCAGCACATAGTCATGAAAATATAGAATTTATTATCATGACCTTAGTTTATTTTATTAAATAGAAAATGTGGCATTTGGTTAAGCAAAAAGTATACATTAGAAAGTATGTTGTTCAGTAAATAAAAGCTGAACATCAGTTTGGCAGTTGTATGTTTATGTTGCGCCCGCCATCACAACTATCAGGTTTCCTCCGCCAGGTCACAAAACGATGATAAATTGTTATTTTTAGGCGGGAAATTTGTCTTTATTAAAAATAACGTACTGATTATTTGATACTACTAGACTTAGTTGAAATTCATGAGTTGAAAAGGTAGTAACAAAAGAATGAAGACATTTTCAAAGATTCAAACTAAATTTGAATATTTGAAATGCTTCGACAAATTCGATTCAATTTGGTGAGTTGCCTAAGGTGATATGGAATATATGAAGGGCCATATGTACTTTTTTTCTGTCCGAGAGAGACTAATTTGAGACTAATTTGATTAGTACTGGATTAGTTCCACTTAAACATTACCTTACATCTAGTAATCTTTGAAGTATTTATATATTGACATGTTTGCCGAATGTCAATAGAGCTGAACTTTGTTTTGATTTGCATTCCTGAAGGAATGCTTTGTTTAGAATGCTCACAAAAAGAACCGAAGAACCTCAAAGCATTCTCTACAGGACTTCTTAAAACTTGAAGCTCGTGAATCGCTTATATGGACCTCCTGCCGACCCCTCTACCCCTCGTCGATTTCCCCCTTTCCTCCCTTTTTTGATGATCGACTAAAATCATGTCAACTGTTTACAATGTCATCATGTTTCCCATAACACGAGGGCATCGCACTTTCTTTACCTAACAGATTTCGCGTCGCCGAGATGTTAAAACTTATAGTTTCACTTATAGTTATGGGTTTCCTGTGTTTAGTTCGTTGTGATTTTCGTCTGGATAAAGTCATCGAGATAGCGTTCTGACGTTCTAGAGTTACATGAGTACCATTGACCTCAGCCAGACATAATATCGGCAAATTAAATATTCATTTTATTATACTGCTTTGACATAACACGGACACACATTGTCGTGTGTCGAGTCAAGCTTAAACAATTGCAATTTACAAATATAATGAACCAAAGCTCTTTGAAAGTAGAGTTTTAATAGCAAAGAGACAACTGTGGAAATTACATTTTCCTCATTCCTTTAGGATGTTGAAAAGCACAGGTAGCCCAAGCTCAATGGTTGTGTTGATCTACTATAAATATACACCTACTTCCAAAAAACGTTGTCGAGGAGAACGGCGATTGTCGAAGGGAGATTGCACGACTGAAAGTGACTATGGTTACACTGTTTTGACAAACAACATTTCACTTATTGGGGTTCACCTTGCTTAGAAAGTGATGACTAAATGGAGCCAATATTCACCACAGACTATATCTTACAGTAAATATATAGAGGATATTATGCCGTGGGCGCGCGGAGATAAGGATCCTATATTCGATTGTAGAAAAAATCTCTCACGAGTGAGCATAGCGAAGAGAAGATAAAATTCGTACCTCCAAAAAGTGACCATGTAATATTATGATATATTTACATATATGAAAATCCGTCCCTTGCTGCTGAGTCTATACGCACTTGCTCATTCATAAAGTCTTTGAATGAATCTCTCCATCTCTYCTCTCTTGTTCTTTGTCCCCTTTATTCGCTTCTTCTTCACTTATTGGGTGTACTTTGATCAGTCTGTCAGGTACACATTTTATATCGTCTCTTTCTTTATGTCGTAAAATTCCTATTTTCTTACTTCCACTATATAGAGAACCTCGAAAGTGTTAAAAATATCAACTTTACTAAATGGAGGGAAAATAGGTATTTCAGTCATAGATACATGTAAATATATTATATCAGCTGTTATTTCTAATCCCTTTAGCAAAACCCATGACTACTTTCGGTCGTTCAATCGCCGTTCGACTATTGACATAGCCGCCATTTTATTCGCAAACTTTTTTTAAATAGTTTCTAACCTAAAATGAGACTCAGCGTAATAAAACCAGGCTTCAGCAATTTTCGTTTCATTGTGCTCAAATTATAATTGTAAGCATTCTCAAAACAATATGCATGTTTATTTACACAGAAAATGCTTTGTTTTAGGCAAAAACAAAGCAAAAACCTACTGCTTGATTGCTGCTTAAAATGCAACTGAACCCTTCTAGAAAGTCATTTCGTCCGAAAGAGAACATTATCCTAAGCACTTCTGTCTTCACGATAAGAAAGAGTATATTTAAACTAGTGAATTGGCGTTTTAGTTTTAGTTTCAAATGGCAAAATATCGGCAGAGCTACGAGGACTTAAAACGTACCAAAAACGTGAAAACGAGGTTGGTAAGGCCTCAATATACTCATTTTCACTCAAACCTTTGCAATTTCAAACACCTGTAATTTCTGGTCCTTAAATCTAGGAGCATTAAAACTTTCAGATCTCAATTATTATAGTATGTTCTTTCAACGGGCAGTAATAATATATCATACAACTTATAAACTCAGGCGTTACGACAGCCACGTTCTTTTTCATATGGTTTTTAAAGCGAGTTCTGAAAGTGTAGAAAAACACTGTTTTTCAGTGATGTTATTAGAAGTAGTCAACAATCGTTCTTAGGCACTTATCGAGTCTTGCCATACCCAAAGCGAAGTGATAAGAGTCTGGAAACGACGTTGACTTCAGTTATACGCATAGAATAATGTCTAATTTACATCAATGATTAAGTAACAATGCGCGTGAGAACTAGGGTATTGAATCTTCATTGTTCTGCGCAACTTCCAACTTCCAATTTCAATGTCTTGGTGTTCACACTGATTATATATAAACATATGAGTAACAGAATTTTAAAATAGAATGTGGGTAAAGAGTTTCAAACAAAGTTATTTTTGTATTACACGATCTTGTCCAATCATAAGCACTCAAAACAATAGACAAAAGATGCTTCTAATTTGCCATGTTCCCCACATAGAATTGCCATAAATATTGAGGCTAAGGAAAGCTTCCAAGAAGTGGGATTCAGATATTAAATAAATATAAAATATTAAAAATTGCGCTAAATTGTTAAATTATATCAAATTTTAATGTTTTAACCAATGAGATGGATGGATTATACAATACACAATTAGCACCTTCTTGCAATCCATTGCCGTTTGCTTGCCTAGTTCTTACTCGGACAATTACTTAAATCCTTAATTTCTTGTTTCCAGGCCTTACCGTTGCCAGCCCTGATTCTGTTCCGGGTGTTGGCTGGTGGTCTTTGGGTAAACAGTCTTGTGTTCATAGCAATACACCATCCAACATTTAAGGTCGTTCTTCACTTTGCCTATTGGTCTCTTTTCTTTGTGGCTTTGTACTTCATCTTTGGAGCACTTATTTCAATATGGCGTCTTATTTGTAAGACAACAAAGCGGGATGAGTATCACTTCGTTAAGCAGTCTGACATTGGTGAAAGAGATGACTTCAGTGAGCTTCCAAGGCTCAACCTACTATCGTGGTATCATGAGGTGAGGGTTTTGTAGTTTTTAGAGATTTAAGAAAATATACTCTACTTGCTTCTGAGATTGTTAGCAAAAAATCGAACAAGAACAGGTTTTTTTAACAGAACAGATATAGAAATTAAAGAAAGTTATAGTGCTTAGAAGGAGGCAATAGGCCGTTTGCATTATGACGTAACTTTACTACAAGTACCAGAGAGCATTGCGCATTTTCATTGCTATTCAGATTTTTAATCCCCTTGTAGATAAATAAAACAATTGGCACTAATTGCATTACAAAAGAAAGTTTGCAAAGCATTCTGGTATAACGCCATAATGCATATCGCCTATTCCGGTAGAAAGATCCTTTAGGAATAAATTCGGAAAAATTTATTTCCGACCTCGATGGTATTCGAACCCACGACCTTCGGATTTGTACTACCGAAGCTCTACCAGCTGAGCTACAAGGCCAGACTGGGAGCAGGTCGGGGTAAAATAGGTCGAGGGTTCGAATCCCAGCGAGGTCGGAAATTAATTTTTCCGAATTTATTCCTAAGGGTCTTTCTCCCGGAATTGCCTCCTTCTAAGCACTATAACTTTCTTTCATTTCTATATCTGTTCTATCATAGTGCCATGCGGTCTTTATATTCATTTAGAAGAACAGTAGGCTCCTCCTGAATGGTTGAATAATGGTCCTTTCCCAAGGCTTTTCCCGAGTAGTTAGAGCCTTTGACTAGGTAACAACATTTTATCGTGTTCACAATAGATGTAGGGAATTGCTGAGCAATCAATAACTTTACGCTTTGATAATCATATTTTGTCTGCAAAGTGTTTACTACAAACTCACATGTTTTCAGTTAGAGTCTATTTTTGCCGTATACCATATTTAGGCACTGCATCCACAGTTTTCATAACTTTCACATTTAACATTCAAAGTTTTCATAGATTTATCTTTTTGTGATATTTTGTGAAAAGTTCTCTTGACTCCATCGACGATAGTTCCTGAATAGGCATGATAAAGTCGAATACAACTTTTTCCATTTATTTTTTTGCTTGCTCAGCAATGTTCTTATTCCATTATGAACACTTGCAAATGTTACGACCAAGCCAAAGCCTCCCATTGGTTCTTCAGAACCAACATCTTAGGAAAGGACCAATGATAGCAATCATTGCCAATAAGAAACGAGATGGTATACTTTAAATAATTCATCATTATAGGTATTGTGGGTACTCCATACTCTCGCCGCTGATACATCATTTGTGGTGTTGGTCGCGTACTTCACATTTTGGTTTAATCATCGCGTGACATACGAAGGGTACATGGAAATGATGCAGCATATTCTACCATTCGTCTCCATGGTGTTTGATTTAGCAATCAATGGCTTTCCTGTTCGTCTGTATCATGTTCTTTATGCCAATGTGTTCGGCTTTATGTACGTGGTGTTCAGCCTGATCTACATACTCCTCGAGGTGCCTGCTGATTTGAAGGGGGAGCCGATTGTGTTTCCGTCCCTTGAGTTCAGCAATTTGCCAGTGATGTACACGGCTTGGTTGTCTGTATTTATTGTCGTTGGTTTCTTCGTTTCTCAGACACTGTTTTACATAATGTATAAAATACGAACTTGTCTGACGTCTAATGACGAAGAGGGAAAAAAATGATGTTCTCAATTTGATCAAAATCAACATTTCAACAAATATAACTCACAATAGCGCTCTAAATCTCGATAATGATGAAATGCAGGTGTCAATACCACATCTATTGTCATTTCTCTACTTGAAATTGAAGAATCATTGTATAAACTCACTTCCATCAAATAGAAGAATTTCCTAATTGCAGGTAAAACGCAGTATAATAGAAAGAAGAGTGATGTTTGCTAAACGTAAACACAATGCTACTTTCAAGAATATCGTTTAAACTATAAGAATAGACACTTTGCCCAAATAGTTAATAGACGTAATCGGCTAACTCGTTGCTATAAACGTTTCCACCCAATTCAATACACCCGGAACGGTAAGTTTCATTGTTCGTTTTATTTTCATTTCATTGATGAATTCTAAAAGAAAGAAAAGTTGCTTATTCCACAGGATTTGAATTGGGTGGTAACGAACATGGCAACGTGTTAGCCGATTACGTCTATGCTCTTTGGTATTTTTTGAACCAAGAGTAGTGAGAAAACGAGCCTTCGCGAAGATGACCATTGTATCTCTGCTGACCCTCCGTTTCTATTGGGCTTGTTATTATTATTCAAGCTGGTTGTATATATCCTAAAAGCGATCCAGTCTCAACCTCTTCGCTTATTAACAGCCATATATGGTAAACTACCTTGGTAAACTACCTTATTTGGAAGTATACGAGTAGAATCTGTTTAGACAATCTTCTCAATTATCGTCAGAAACTTGCAGATATTTTCGCGAAATCGATTTTCAATAATCAGCCATCTTGGTTGCTTCCATATATGGCATATAATAAAGGAAGGTAGTAAAGGAAGCTCAAAACTTAAAAACGCACATGTTTTTGCACGAAAGACAGGAATTCATTGATATGACAGTGAAATTAGGATAGATATGAAGTTGAATTTTTGTACATTACAATAAACACAAATGCTAAAATTTAGAGTTTGATTAATGCAAAGCGTTTTTTATGTTTAATCTTTTTATTGCATGTTGGGTAAAGGAGGTTCAATAAATCATATAGCGCAATACTGCCGACGACGCAGCTCATACTAGTTTAGCGCTAGTTTCCAAAAGCAGATTTGGAATGCTGGCCGGGATCTTACGATATCTTTTGAATATCGCCAGCCTTGCGTCTTTACACGATGTTCCCTCACGCCATTTTTTATAGCAAAGCATAGTCCATATCGCAACCTGCGGAAAGCCTTGTGACGCAGTGCATTTTTGGATTGATAAATGAGTAAGCAAGTGAACAACGATGTCAGTGCTCCAGTTGTCTGTAACGTAGACTTAGTTTTCGAAAAACATTGGGAAATATTGATATTGTAGTTAATCTCAGAAGCGAAAAAACAAACAAATATCAACATGCAAGGAAATGCAGCAAAAAAAAAAACCTCCAAAAAAAAGTACAGTTAATCAAGAATTTCCATTTACTAGGAAATCAAGCAAAAATAAAAACAAACATATTTTGTCTGTGGAAAAATCGAAACTAATTAGTGTTTTTACAATTTTGGCGATTTGTTTTGATGAAGAAAGGGAGATATATATCCCATGATACATTGCAAAACCATTCAAAATGGCGGGCTTGTGATATGGACTATGATCGATGAGAGTCTTCTACTTTGCCCACACCATAAAGAAAATAAAAGTGCAGCTTTGCTCACGTTTTCACTATTTTTGTTATATAAGAAGTAAGCGAATTTCGTTTTGCCATAATATGAGATATGGATATGCGACATTTCCGACTGTCGATCCACAGGATAGTTCTCAATTAGGAAATAGTCGATGTTTCTCTTGCCTTTCGTGATTTACTTCTTTTTTATCCAACTTTAAATGAATTCATATTTGCCTTCGCTTAAATTTATCACAATTTTTTTAAATTAAAATTTTTAAAGCTTTTTTAAAAAAGCTCAAATCTCATTTGCGATTGATCTCTTTAATTTAAGCTTTATTAGTTTATTCTTACAATAGAAACTTTGCTCTTCTTATTAACATTTCGTGACTTGATTTTCTCATTGCCATGTTGTTTTCAAATGAAATAAATACTTTTCCTATAAGGATTCCAAATGCCAGTATAAACTTAAGGGTTTTTTTGCGACCTGCATGCCTGAGTTTCGTGCATGCTTGAAATTTAGCTATACAACCTCGCTGCGATTGACGCAAGTGTAAACCGGCCTTGACCAAGAGATATTCCTTCCCTAGTTGTTATTCAAAATCAGGGCGGATCCAAGGGGTGATTAGAACGGCTAACTACCCTCTTTTTGGAGTTCAAAAATATAATCAAAATTATCATATAAATAAACTAGACTATACTGTAAAGTGAAACGCCCACCATTAATCTGAACACCCCGAAGAATTTTCAGTGCTAGATTTTCGCCGTAGTCCTCCATTTTCCTTCAAGAAATGTTCCACAATCTGTTAATGGCCGACTTGCGCTATTTATCTTACAACAGAGTAAGTGTAGGTCGAGACGTCGGGGCCTGGGACAGTACTGGGATGATAATAAAAATGAGAAAATAAATCTGAATAGTGCTTATTCTGAAAAACAACAAAAGAAGCATTCGTCTGAAAGCGGAAAGTTTTTTTTCTGAAAACGTAGATCTATTAATTATGTTTTGTCTTTAGTTAGCGACCTCCCAGCTCGTCCCTTTGCTACGTTCTGGCGAAATCTCTATTGAATCCTATCCTAATTTTCGTAATTAATAATCACGAAAATCATAATCAAAGACTGTGTAGTTTACAAAGGATTGGAACTCTCATGAACTTGAAGTTCCTTGTCGAAATATACAGGCATTCTAGTTCTCTAGCTCTTGTCTTACTGTACTTATTGGGGTAGATATTGCAAAATATCGATAGGAATTTTGTTCTTAGTAGCAGTAGAGCATTACTATTTATTTAAACGCAATATAGGCTTAGGTTTTGATATATTCAATACAAATCACTTTTAACTGATCAACAGTAGCTATGTTTATTTGATTTCTTATTTACAGAATAATTTGAAGTTACTTTCCATAAGTCTAAACAAATAAAATAAAACATGAACAAATAAAAAAAACAATATTCTTGTCATGATCATTGTTTGATTTATTAAATATCTCTCAGTGGAAGAATAGTGAACGTTTTCTGGTTTAAACTAAACACACAAAAAACCAAGCCATTTTTTCAGTCTCTTTCGCCAACTAATTTCCACTCTCATAGATTGTCTTGGCGTCAGTTCTTGTTTCTTGATATTTCGTAGTCTTCGTTGCTTCGTTTTGATGCAGCACCCAAACAGGCCTCCATTGTAACCCGACATACGGTGTCAAAGGCTCTTTCCATCTAGAAAAGATTTAAATATATTTGTAAAAGATTATGTTGCAGTTGGAGACTACAATTTTAATTTTAACCCTTAAAAGGGTTTGTTATTCATAGCAAAAGGCCAAAAAAAACTTCCATGACTTGAACATAGTATTATTCGCAACTTTTCGTATAAAAACGAAAACTACGCAATACGCATTTCATTAGTAAAAACAGTTGAGAGGTACTTGATGCGTTATCACGTAATCACTCATTTCTCTAAAAGATAATGAAGCAAAAACCACTGTTTTTTGCGTTAAATGTTGCTTAGAATTGTTTCACATTAATTTGAAATGATGTTAATTTTATTTCAAAAAGAGTTGAATAGTTGATTATTATTGGTTCACAAGTATTCAGTGAAAAGATTCCCTTCGGCAAAATTAATTCACAATTTGTTCTTCGCTTAACCAAATATTTTCTTAATTTGTTTGTATTGCCCCGAAGTCAATAGAGAGAGAACTAACTAGAATAAACATAACGTTGTTTCTCGCCTCATTAAATTTGTTTTTGAAAATATTTCTACACCAAAGAAGAATACGAGTTAAGACAGGTTTTGTTATTTATCCGGAAAAGGCTGCACAATTCCTAGAAAACATCCTTTGGACCAACCTTTCTTAAATTGAAAATGAAAATAAAATAACAATAGGCAGTTTATTAGCATCATGTCCTTTCTAAAGCTACATTTAGACAACAACAAAAACCTACGAAGCAACAAACAATCTCTAGGCTAAACACTGAGTCTAACGATAAATGGCACTCCTTACTCTAAAGAATAACAAATATACACCCACAATAACATCAACACCAAATAACAGGAACAACAGCAGAAAAAAGAAAAATATCATTCAAATAGCTAAGCTAATGCGTAATTGAAGAAAAAACGACGATAGCTGATACCAAAAAGAGCACCAAACTATAAACAAAGGGCTGAATTAATTTAAACAAAGTGTCAAGTTGAGAACATTACGTGAAAGTTGAATTTATTTTTTTTGACTTGTTTATCAAAATAAAACGATTTTCTACTGCTCATTTCCGCACTAGCTTACTAACACAAGGGGGCACTTAAAATAACAGCTTGTAACTTATCGTTCTTGATATAATGATTTATATAAATTTAAAGTTTATGTTAACGAGCACAAACACTTTGAAACCTCTCAGGTTTGCATCCGTTAGCTCCTTCAAGCAGGTATCAGATTCTATTTGTTTAAGATTTCTTAAAAACAATGAAGTTACGAAGAAAAGAAGAAGAATTAACCTGAAAGAATTTCTGTTCATAATTACGTATATGAACATCTTGATTGAATTTGTTGGACAGCGCCCTATTTATGTAGTTCAACAAAGTATGCGTGCGCACAAAACATTTTTTGCCACGAAAGAATTTAAGTGGAAAGAAATATCGTCAGTAAGTTGCTTCGCCTATTTTTCTGCGGTGTTAAATTTACGGAGTGTCTACACATCAAGCAGCCTGACGTTTAGCCCCAAAACTAAACGTCAGGCAATTTCGAAACTCAACGAGGAAAACAGCAATTTTACTACCCTCGAAATAAATAAGTGGGATATTGAATTTTAGATGTTGTCAGGATTTTTTCCAAAGTAAGAGAATTTTCAAACCTCAAATAGACGATGTTTTCATAATTTTCAGAAACATTTTTCAAGTTTTCAAAATGGTAGTTAAAAAATTGCTTTGTCATTTACAAACACAGCAATAGAATGTGAGGAAACCAGATTTTTTCATTCAAAACATAATTTGTTGTTGAGCCGTGATTGCCAATTCACTCTTTGTAGGTCAATTAAACTACAGATGTCAAATTGTTTATTTGAAGTTCTGCTTTCAAATTGAATTTTTTCATCATTACATAACATATAATGTGCGTGAACTTGGATAGAATTTGGATTGCTAACAGTTTAAGATTTTGGCCAATGAAAATTCAAATCGCTTAAAAAACTTAGAGTTTAACCAAGAAAATAGAACGATTTGTATTTCTTAAAATCAATATTTGCTTGGCGTTTCTGTGCAAAATGATTGTGTCATTAACAAATTTCCTGTTGTAGAGTTCATTTGGGATGAATTTCCTGCAGATGGCAATTAAAAATCTTCATCTTTTAATGAAAGAGCTTTGTTTTAACTAATTTACTCTTTGGTAAAGGAGCAGTCCCAATTTGTGCTCGAGAAAACTAATATGAATATGAAACACCCGAGAAGATTATATCAACTTCATCATCGACTTCGTTGTTTACAGCAAAAATGACACAGACTCCAACCGAGAAGGCTGTTCACATTTTCTGAGCATTTTACATCTTCAACCCCATTGAAATTTGGACTGAGTTTCAAAAGGCAACCTCTCAATCTAAGACACAATTTGAAACGTTTTGCTCCGTGAAGTTGGGATATGTAAGAGTAAGAATTTAAAACTTAAAGAGCTTTCATGGTCAGGGGCTCCCACTAGCCTGTTCTTAAACGAAAGCAATTTTCCTAGGTACGTTATCTTTTTGAATGGAAGAGAATTCTAGTGACAAAGCAAAATAGTCCTTCTTTTCTCTCGAAGACATTAAAGAAAGCTTCCGTGCCAGAAATTGTCCATGTTAAAGAAAATTGTCAAGGGTGAAATATAGCGGTTGTTTAGTACGTTTCTGAACTTACAATACAAAAAAGAAGACACGACAACTCATAAAAATTTCATTAAAAACAGCGACAATAAAGTGAAAGACATAAAAATGAAGAATGAACATAGATGAAAAAATTTTTTAATTTAAAGTAAAGTAAAAACTTTCATTGTAAACTGCTATTAAAGGTGAGAAAGTTGAAAATGGAAAAAAAAATGATGAAATGTTTCGATGTAAATCGAGGTATTATACCTTCAACTGGCGTTTTCCAACGTTACCAATTCCTGCTGTAAAGGCGTGAGACTCTCTTGGGTAGAGAGCTATAAGTAGAAGAGATAAAACTAAGATTGTTGTCTTCATGGTTGATCTTCAAGAGCTTGACTCCGTGTAGCTTATTAGACGAGTGTAGTTTTGAGACCTCTTCACTCGCTATTTATACAGATCCGATCATTAACGAGGGGGTGTATGCTTCCTTGCTCATATTTGTTTTCAATTACTATTTGAAGGGTTTAGTCTGTAAAGACGTCAGAAACACCTCTCGATATCAATTATAAAATCATAATTTGGGAGCCATCTTGATTGGTTAATTGAATGCAGTGCTGTATATACACAGCCTGCTGCTTATTTGAAAGTGAGGATTGGTCATTTTTCGACGTGCTAAAGCTTCAACAGAGTTCATTGTTCCAATTTAAGTGAGGAAATAGATGCGCCCAATCTGCATTAAGAGAAAGCGAAAGATTATAACTTTACATTGTTGTCGTCCCTGGACATGTACGGATGCCTTAAAATGTTTTATTTAAAGCTTATCTAATTTGTCTTTCTTTTCTTTCATGAAAGCCATAACGTTTGAATAGAAATTTTGCTTTTTTTTACCTTGCATCTAAGCAAAAAACGCTACTAACATCATTCTTAAAAAATCCCTTTAATCCATTAACACTAGTACTTCCATGCTCAAAAACTTTCTATAGCTGATAATTGCAATTTTTGATTTCCTTAAAAGGCTTTGCCTCTCCTTCCTTTGTATCTATACAAATTACAGGCAAAACTTGAAAGGTCTTTGTAATTATCTTTTCGTTGTCGAAGTTTTAGATTAATCTCAATAATATGAAAAATATCAATGAATATAATTTTTTGCTACATTAAAAATCCATCGTACATGACTTGCTAGGGTATATATACTGAAAACTTTATTTTAAATTCAATTCATAGAAACGCATTTTCCGGAAATCCTTGGCTCAGAAGTTGAGTGCAGGTGTGTACTGGAAATATTCTAGATCTAGATCTATGAGAAGTGAGAGTAAGAAGCGATGGTGTCATTGATGAAGCAGTCTTGATATAAAATGATACATTATTGTGGGATGTACTGGTTGGTCATTCCAACCGCCAAGGAAAAGGCAAAAGTACTAACAGGAAAGCCATATTTTTTCATTACTGTGATCAAGGACTAACATCGGAAATTTCATACCATATTTTTTCCATAAAGGCCAAAATGGAGACGGAAAGAATATCTTTACAGAAAAAAATATTTTTTAAGCGTTCTAACATTATTTTCACGAACTGCTACAACCATAATTTTTGACAACTGTATAAAATATAATCAAATCTTCCACAGATAGCTTATATGCCGTTTGTTTATYCTTCGTTTAACTTATTGGCACAGACTAATTTCAAAACCATGAAGTAATRAGCTTTAGAAAACTGCATCTCTATAAACCTCTAAATTGGACGTAGGTGGGGAAACCAAATRCTGCGCCTTTGAAGCATTGTTTTCTTTTGTTTATTTAGTTAATGCCWACAGAGCTCATCAGCCTTTATTGTACAATTYTTTTCATTATCAATGACAACACTGAAATGTACGCTGTTTTCATAAAAGCATTTATGCTAGAACCTCACGTATTTATTAATTGCCTTCCATGTATTGTTCACCATCAGTCCACTGAAACCATTTGTCAACTCCAAAATTTTCACGTGGATTKAAACCAAAAAAGGCCAAATACCATTTTATATCATGATMATCCTCCCTTTTTCTTCAATGAGCATAGCTGYAATCAAGAATTTGACTAAATTTGAGCCAAAAATTCCCGAACATAAAATTTATCTTTAATATATCATGTTTAAAGAAAAACATTGTTAAGCCATAAATCTGTAAACAAAAAAGATGTTCAAGTGAATTTTCATGCCAAAAATTTATTTAATTTTTTTAATTAATTTTATCTTATAATTTTTTACGGCAATTTTATTCAGTATCCATGGATAAAGAGAAAACAGTAGTAGTACATTATGAATTTTCTATGTGGTTTTGCGATAAAATGAAGACATTTTACCTTTCTTAAGTTGTCCGCTTGTCCGCTTGTCCGCTTGTCCGCCATCTTGTTTTCTAGATTATGGATACTATATTGCGTGCACGTGAGTTCGCATAAATGAATGTTTATCCATTATTTCAAATTTCTTTCCTTTAACAAATGAAGAATAGGAAAAAAAAATAAGCGAATTAGTAGAAAAAAATAGTGAGTAATGCTTTTCGTAAACATTCATCCTTGGGAATTTCCAGAAAAAAGTCAAAACATATTGTCTCAAGAAATTTAATGATTCCTTTTTTTTTCTAAAATTATGTTCCTGACGATAAACACTACAACCCTCCTCAAAGAATCACAGAGAGTTCCCTGATTTGATCCACAAACAAATTGTTACTTGCTTAACAAATGTTTTGTTTATCAGGCATCGCGATAATCTCCTGACCCCATGGGAGTGACAATAATAGCAAAGATATGTACTCGTACCGTTACGTGCAAAAATAACGTCTTTGTTTGATGAATAACAAAAGAAGGCAATGAGCTCGATTGCTTTGTCGATCATGCAAGATTTGAATCCGTGATCTTGCATAACTAGCAATACAATTCAATTTTAATAAAATTGAACTTATGTTCTTACAATAAACACTATTCTAATTTAACCTTTAATACAGTAAATATATGCTAAAAAAGTCACAGTTTTGAGCTGTTTTTAATCATATTTTCAAGATTGCTACTAGATTTTTAAACCGTTCAATATCAAGTTGCAGGTGGAGGAAAAGTCTCCATTTTCTATTCATTTTTGAAGAACATTTTATGCTTCTTTCAACGTTATTCCGCATATGACGACTTAAAAATTTATTTTTAATTTCAAAATCTCCAGGTTAAAGTAAAAAAATCTGATGTAACAAGCTTTTGAACTCTTTAAGATTTTTTTTAATATCAGCTATATTCTAGAAAAGACGAGAAATGCCCCTTATGACAATACAAATGAGATTACTTTAAGGGTAGAAAGGGAGGATTGAGAGGGAATAATAACTATAATAAATAAATAATAAAAAAGTTGTAGTGTTGTCCTTTAGCCCATAAGAAGCGATAATTTTGGGTAAATCAACAAACACCAATTMATATTTTATTAGTTTAATGTCACGTTCTTAAGGTGAAGAACTCAAGCAATAAATAAATAAAGCAAAACGTTTTGTGAATATTTCAATTATATTTTTAAGTTTTATTTTGTTATTTTTCAAAAGATCTGATGACTGTATATAAATAGAATTGAAAGAAAAACATTTCTCTGGTGTTTGCTGGAAATTTTATATTTCATCTAAGTACAAAAATGCCCGAGGCATCGATATACAAAGTGCAACCTGGCTCTGTTACYCTAGGCTTGCCACAAAAAAATGAGTTCATCAGTTTCTATAGAAGTTTGGCTCAAGCGAACATCAAGCTGTAATCAGTTATATTGACACCCCCTCCCCCCTCCCTTTCCATTTTTTTTCTTAATTTCTGTTTTTCTTTCTGTCTTAATTTGTGTGTTTGCTTGTTTCTTTTTTATCTTTCTCATTTTTCTTTCTTTTTCCTGTTCTTTCTTTTCCCTTTTCTTTCTTTTTCTTTTTCATTTCCTTTCCTTTTCTTGTTTTTTTTTATTTGATAAAGTTGCTGCTTGGAATATGGGGCCCGACTCTATGAATCAGAGCTTTCCACTGGTGGACGGAATTACACGTGTGATGAAACATTTCTTCCTAATTTCCACCATATTTTCTGTTCAGTGATGCAATCTCCTTTCATTTATCAATTCAGCACAGATTAAACGATCAAGCGACATGCTCTTATCAACTCTAGAGCCGATGAATCAATTTAATGTCTCAGTTTTCACACTCTACTTGATACTTAAAGTCAGCTGGCCATAAGGACGCAATGAAGTCTATCTCATCAAAAACGACGCCATTTTGCTCAATTTTATGAAAGRACGACGATTTTAATGTAAAATCGAGTATTTTCTATTTTGGGAAAGATAATTATACTCGATTATGATTTAAAAAACGTAACAGTTCTAGACGCTCAATATTCTTTGTCTTATCTGTGCGAGACATACAAAAATTGGTTGACTCAGACAAAACAGGGGAAGCACAATTCGGCTCTGCTGGACAAAGGAGTCATTTAGAGTCTGTTYTTTTACTTAAAAGTTTTTCGTTGTTTGTGTAGTTATTATAAGACTTTTTGTGTATTGATCCTAATCGTTTCACCTTGAAACACATTTAAATCGTCATAGAGAAAGAAAATAACAAAACAAAAATTCGCGCGAAGATGATAAAACTTTAAGACATATACACCGAATTGAATTAACGTAAAAAAAGTGATATCGCCTTAGCTACACCGAAGATGTATTAAAAAATCAATCGTAGAAATTCAAATAAAATTTACCTAAATATGGCACATCATAGCATTACTCTTAGAGAAGGTCATTTTATTTACTCTAAATCTAAAAAATCCTAAGCTAGGCAATGTTTTGATTCTGAAACAATGTTATACTCGTAGATTGCTCATCCAAAGATACCTTTCGGTCTTTGCTTTGATTTTGTAAGCTATTCGAACCCAAAAACGTTTTACAATTAGCTGTATACTCAAGAAAAAATAAGTTAGGAGAGTAAAGTATTCCAAAAGTRACGGAATCAGTTCCGTGTTTTTACTTCARCATGCAACTACAACTAAGGAAATCTTATCTCTGCCCCWTCACACCTAACTTCGATAAGAAGTATAGGGAGGGGCGCTCTGTCTAAAATACAAAGATCTTCAATGATAGTATACCTGAGGCGTTATCTTTAAGGGTGGGAGGAAATCCTTATAGGGGTTGAAAAAATTAAACAGGCGACGATTAGCACTCGAAATRTCTTGGGTGTGGCAACACTTGTTTATCTATCAGTTATTGGCGGCACTAAATCGAGTCGTATGTATATGAGTTAATAGCTGACTATCAGACAACCTGAAATGTCATATGCGACGAGACTAGCGGAAACATTGTTGTACTATATACGAAAACAATTTTTTTTTCAAAAGTAGTTTTTCTTTTTATTCTCAAAGAAGCCGGAGTTCAAGTCGTCGTTGTGTTTTTCTTCACATGAGTCAGAATTGATTGTGAATATATAAAAATTAGACCACGAGGTCGAGTGGACTACGACTACGACTATAGTAGATTAGGACGCGGTAGGTGGAATGGACTATCAACTCGTAGTTTACGAAACAGAGGCGTCTAATTGTTTTGGTATCCACCTAATGGCTATAGGGCAAATTTGAGAGAAAGACCATAGTGAAAACCTTTCCTCGACATTTTTCARTCGACTATTTTTGATTCGAGGATATTCCATATACATTATAGGCATTGCATGAAATGAATATACCATAGTTCGGTAGYCAATCAAATTGCTGGATCGATTCGTGATTTCTCATGGTTTGGTGGATACTAAAGTATTGTGTACTCGATCGGTTTATACACTTGAGTTTGTGGCGTTTGATCATTCTATTGCTGAAATAAGCTTTACATTTATTATCTAAGAACGGATCCCTAAGGGTGGGGATAGGGGAGATTAAATTCTCTAGTTAGCCCTTCCCCCCTCCCTCCCCCCTCCCCCCCTCTCCCCTCCCTCCCCCTCCCTCCCCCTTCTAGCGTTCAAAAATAGAGAAACCGAAAGTATGATATGAATAAGTAAAAGAGAAAATGAAATCTAAATGGGGCTCAATCTGATAAACATCTAAAGAAGCTTTCATCGATCTGTAAGAATCTTTTCAATTTTGATACTAAAATGTTTTTTTTTTAATTTTATTATTAAAATATTTTTCTTGAGTTGCCAATTCAGTCTCATTTTTTAACGTTCTGGATCTACAATTTCAAATACTATCCTTTAATGATAATGTTACAAAATACATCTTAAGGTACGACTAAGGAATTTGAATCATATTCTAGTCTTCTGATAATTTTTTTTTCTTTAGACAGATCACGTTGTACGTACTCACAGAAAAGATTCATATCCYAACCTTCCTTTCATTTTGTTAAACAACAAAACGCGGCCAGTTTTTTCCTCATTGCGGTYCGTTTAGATGAAGTTGTCAATTGTTTACAATCTTAATGAGATTTCCTAATTTCCTCACATCGTTATCTAATGGACGTACTTCCTCTGCTTTGATTGATGTTTTTTTATTGGAAAATTTTAATTGACCTCTCGATTTGTTCACTTTTTTTTTCAAAATCATCATGTTTAAAAATGAATCTATGAATCATGTTTAAAAATGAGTCTATTCGYGTAGTCGCTATCATTGAAATGTTGCAGGCATTTTCACACACATGAGGAAATAGTATCATTGAATCACATGGAATTCTATATTAAGAGGTCTGTACGGGAAAATATCAGACTGAGGTCTTGACAGTACAGACCGAGCGCAGCGAGTACATAAAAGACCGAGGTCTGATATTTTCCCGTACAGATCGTAGCAAGCGAGGTTAATAACTTGTTTATTTTATGGATTTTACATCGTAGATTATGTAGAAGAATTACTCAGAGTATGTAGGAAAAGTCTCAYTGGTCAACTTATAATCGAAACTTACAAACCGTTGCCTCCCTCTATCTTATAGCACCGCTTTTCTCAAATATCTCACRATATGAGTAAAATGAAACAGAAATCATCATATTTTCAGTAATTGTCGGCTAAAAAGACGGGGATTTTGGCTCTTTATTTCATAGATTCATTGCGGACAAAAAGGCGGRAGCAGTTGAAATTGAACCATCTTTCTTTCAGCTCATTAAAAAAATGCATTTTGTTTGAATTTTTTTATATCAAAGAAAGTCTCAAATCTGATAAGCAAAGTTGTCTTGATTCCCTCGGTCCAACTTACGGAACTATGGAAGTTGGATTGATTACCATAGCAACGGTCCAATACGTCTCTCGACGGACCGCGCGTCAGCCAATCAAAATTCAGGAAATTTACAAGCCATATAATAATAATGTTTGAAGATCATTGTGTTAGGTATATTTTCAAATGAGCTTCACTAGCTTACGAGGATATTAGGATATTAGAATAGATGCGTTCGTTATTTTCTTTCGTGGAAACTTAACCATGCAAAAACATATGCTATCCATATTTCAAAATTTCCTGGTTTGTACTTAGTCTCTTCTCGCAGCCGTTATGAGGCTCGTTCCGAGGTCTCTCAGCAACGAGTCTCGGCATAACATCAGCGAGAGGAGCCTAGGTTTGTGCCTAGCCTCAGAGATCTAACAAGTTTTCCGTTCTTAGTTTTAATCAATTATTGTATTTATTCAGGCGTACAAAATATTTGGTTATCCTGTTATTAAAGATCAGTATTTGAACAGCTTTGTGACTGTGATATTAGAATGATTGTCATCGGAGTGTAAATCAAAACTACTCAGTTAGCACGTATGTAAATAATTCATTTTGACTGAAATTAACATTACATTTTTATACGTTATTTGAAATAGGTATAGAATAATCTTCCTGATTAAAAAGTCAGTATAAAAAGATTAAGTCAGCACCGTARAAACTAGGTAAAACAACTTATTAACAACGTCGTTTTTACGGTGTTAAATTTATCTTTTTACACAACGGTTTMTTTAGAAACACCGATGCAGCTCACACTATAGTTTTCTGCTAGTTTCCACCATTGTTTAACTTTTTTTTCGAGGATTAAAATCTTCCTGATGTAATGAACGTGATGAATTTAAAGGGACACTGTYAATGGATGACATGCGCGAGTAAACTTGAAAACACTAGGCTAGTKTTTTCAAGTTTATGACTCCAAGCTGGCGCGACATAAATCAGATCGTAAACGTAAACAGATCTAGAATATTCCAAAGTGTGTCAAAAGCACCACAAAATGATTTACCTYGAAGGTTATACTTTCAAAGTCCGTTAGAGGTGAGACTGTTACTGCGCATGTCATCCATTGACAGTGTCCCTTTAAGATTAGTTCAGCTGCTTGTTTTAATTTTCATTTTCTTCTGTAGATTTATTTAATACTTTTAATCAATAACAGTTCTATTCTAAATCGCGTTATCTTTATATTAAATGCGATTTAACAAATATTATTCGGYTGAAAAACACTTTAAATTTCATGTAATAAATTGAGCCTTTGAGCGATTTTGCAATTGTGTCATGGCTTGAGTAGGCGCACTTTTGCTAATTATTCACTGTCAGTAGAAGATACACCATTTATTTCTCCATGATAATCACCCACAATGCACTTGAACCGTTCTTCAAACAGAGCAAAAAGGCCACCTAAACAACAGAAATAAACAATAATCTGACTATCAGTACAATCAATGGAGCATGCGCTCTTCGATAGGTGATATCTAGCTCCTTTTATTCATGCGATCACTGGTCATGTGATATGGACCAGATATGGACCTTCAAAATGTTCGAAATTACAAGGAAATGTATGGCTTGTCCATCCAGTACATACATTTCTTTGTAATTTTTACAATTTGAAGGTCCATTTCTTTTGGAATCTTGTTTATTTTGCGGTGGTCTTTCCAATGATTTGATTAATTTTTCAATTARGTTAATTTAGATAACTAGTACCCAGTCTCGTTTAGTAAAGGCCAATAGAATGCACTAATTAAAATGCAAGTGCCGCTGCAATACTGGCCCTGCAATTAACCAATATAGAGTTTTTGCAATTAGATGACAGACCGCTCAAAATAAAGACGAAACTCCGGGGCAACATCTTCAGTTCTTTTGTGCGTGGTTMGTCTACGAGAAAGTCGAAAGTATAGTGTACCCCGCCCAATGCTACGGTTTTACGGTGTTAAATTTATATTTTTACACAACTGTTTCTTTAGAAACACCGACGCAGCTGACACCAGTTTACCGCTAGTTTTCACCACTCTATGCWTCAATGGACAAATACGCATTTCTCACAAATTACATTAATCAATTATGGATATAGTACTGAATGAGTACACACATACAAGACCCATACAAGACAACAAGACTTACACATTTTTAAACATTATCCCATGTACTTATCTGTATCTGATTGTGTTCTCAAGTTACAACATTTTCTCAATTAGTATCTATTTTTGTTGATCCCAACATTTTAAAACAAACATTTGCATTATGTGCTATAAAAACACACCATACCTGTATGGATATATAGAACTTTTTTTCCTTTAAATCTTTGTGGATTTTCTTTCATTTCTACGAGCATGCGCCGTACTGTCTTGATATTATAGACTGGGTCCAATAGTATACCAGTAGTCCTTGCTATTTTCACTATATCATCTAAAAACCATACGTATAGAAGGTGTTATAAAAATGTCTTAAAGTACATTCAACAAAATAATACTTTTTCATTGGTCGAGAGGAGTACTATTAAAGCGTTAATTGTTGTTCTCCTTGAAATATTTTGTTTCCCTGAATGTACTATAAACAAAAAATTACAAAAGCTCAAATTACAAAGAACTTTCAAAACATTACTCGTGACTATTAATTCCGAATTGTACTCAAGGTCGTACGATTTCCTATACAAATAGTAAACACGATCTGATTGGCTAACCTAAGGAAGGCTGTGCAGAGCAGCAATGCGATATGATCCCAGCGGGGSGATTGTGGGGAAGACGTGGGGTAGTTGGGACACAGTGAGCTAGACCGAAGATAAGGGTTTGACTTACTCTTGAGAAAAATCMGTGTAAAATAAACAGATTTAGGTCTACRAAAAATGACTCATTCAGATTTCTTTTTTTTTAATGGGCTCAAATTATATTCAACTTCATATTTTATCTCTTTGAATATCATAATTTATATTTCTGCCTTTTTGAACCCAGATATCAACTTCCCCCTCTAGCTCCCTGCCCCCCAGGATCCGCCCTTGGAGATCATGGCAGGGGGTGATGGTCGAATACGACGATCATCCCTTTCAAATCCTGCGTTGGTATTTACATTATTATAATATAACACATTTATATATCTAATTATTTAKATGTCCTTTACCATACTCCTCTCTGGTGGATTCCCTATATCCACGATCTTTATATCCAATCATCAAATCTATTATGTCTTCTGAACGAATATTAGCAAGTCCACAGAGTTCTAGTTTTGTTTGTATCACACTGTAAGCTTTGTCTAATGTACGACTGAYGGTTACTGCATGGATTCTAAAAAATACCAAAAAAAATTATAAATTGAACTGTTTATATCAGTTAAGCTACTCTCAACTTTTGCAATTACAARAAATTCAGCATACTTGAGTTTAGATCCAGTAAGATAATTTGCTATTGCAAGAGATGCCGCTGTACCACAAGTTCCACTGGTTACAAAAATATCAGTGTAATTTTCCAATACATTCTGCACAAAACAGAAAGTTGAAATAAAAAAAGAMAAATGTTATAATGATTAAAAAGCAAACTAAACAGACATGTAACAAGAATTAAATAATCATTCTACATTGCTCCGTGACATCAGCGTAGATTATTAGCTTGCACTTTTTCCCATTTGCAAAACCTTTAGTGGAGATTTTTCAAAATTTTTCCTTTCAGGAATTTTTTWAAATCTTTTTCAAAATCTGCCATCCCTTCCCCTCCCTCAAAAGTCTAATGGATCGCCCCTAGTTTGGGAAGAGACACCGCAGCAGCCAATTACTGCGGACCCTGTACTCTTACACTCACTACCTCGACATTAAGCACACAGCACTCCTCACATGTTGATTTTGCTGAGGGAAGAAAACCGGAGGATCCGGCGGAGAAAAACCCTCGTGGCAAGGGAGAGAACAACAAATCAAACAAACTCAAACTCAAATATGGTCCGTGCCCGTATAAACCGAGTAATAGTTTTTGTGAGAGCGACGATTGCACCACCGAAAGTCATGGTGTATGTTTGCTTTTTGATGAAAAATGATTCCCTCAACTCCAGAAAAGCACAGCCAAAACCAAACAAACCAAAAGATATCTATTTAATAGAGAAATAACAGCATTGAAGCCTTCGGTGAATAAATATTGCCATTAATAATCAGTTATCTTACTTGTAAAATCATTTCTTGAAAGCAGTTGATGTAACCAAACATTCCGACGTATGAAGATCCACCGCCTTCAACCACGTACGCGGGGGATTTGTGTTTATTTCTACAAAGAACCAAATTTAGACTTTTTTATATAAATATAATTAGTTTATACGTATACTACTGCCATAAGGCCCCTTTACACGATTTTTGAAGCCCGATTATCGGGGCGAATGTCGCGCAACCAACACCTGAGTTTCGAACATGATTGAAAATTGGCTGCAACTTCAACTTATAGATAGGGATCATTGCCTAAGACACAATAATATATCTATACTTTGCTTTCACCTCAGTTAGGCAAAGTCTTGTCAATGTTCGAGAGTGTCTCTTACCCCAGATTGTCAGCCATAACTTTCATTTTTTTCTTGACTTCATCAACTGGAGTCTTGTTTTTCATTGTTATGACGTCACATCCGATAAGCCTGGATAACAGTCTATTACCTTCCAAAGAACTAGAACTCTCCTGATAGTTGAAGTAATATTGATGAATTTTTACATTTTCGAAAAAATTGATTCTCTAAGCAACGGTAATTTTCAAATATACAAAGAAATTAGTAGTGGACATCTATAGTAGTTACTCAAGCTACGCAGCGCTCCGATAATGCCCATCTTAACCTGTACAAATAGATCCTTTCGGTCGTGTAAACACCGATCATGGCCAATGGGCATTGTCTAGAATATCCTGTTTTAGACTAGTACAAAATGCCTTGGACCATAGAATTATTCAGCTAGCATTTTAATTTCTCCTTTATTTTCACATCCCCACCTCACCCCTCACCCCCCCTTGTTTTGGATGTCTTAGCATGCTCAATGACAACATTGGATTTAGGGGGTAAGGGTGAGGGGATGAATTTGTCCGCGGGTGTTCCTTAAAATAAGGAAATTCGCTGGAATGGTCGAAGGATTTTGTAAAGGATTGTAGTTACATAAACCTACTTGCGAAAACGTTGTCATATAAAACAGGACATTTGTATTTAGTAAAAAGGAATAAATTAAAAAAGACAAAAGAAGATCA